CCACACCCCTCCTTCCCTCTCCCTCTCCCTCCCTCCCTCTCCCTCTCCCTCTCTCCCTCTCCCTCTCTCCCTCCTCCTCTCTCTCCCTCCTTTCTCCCCACCCCCCTCTCTCCCTCCACCCCTCCCTTACTCCCTCCCACCCCTCCCCCTCCCTCCCTCCCTCTCTCTCTTCCCCCCCCCTCCCTCCTCCCTCCCTCCCTCCCCTCCCTCCCACCCCCTCCCTTCCCTCCCTCTCTCCCTCCTCCCTCCCCTCCCTCCCTCTCCTCAAACGCCATGCCTCGCCAATGGCCAAGGCAAACAAACAGACAGGCTCTGTTTGCGACGTTTTGACGAGCAGCCGCGACATGAAGCTTGTTTGAGAGCCCATCATCGTCGCGACGGCCCGGACTTTTCTCGAAGTCCATTGGGTCTTTTAGCGTCGGTCTTGCCTTCTTTCGGGGTCGTCTTGGGGTCGTCTTGGGGTCGTCTTGGGGTCGTCTCTGTCTGTCGGGGTCTTTTTGTGAGGGAATTGGTCTTGCGTTGTTTATTCAGTGAAAAAGTACTTTTTTTAGCTGTTTCATCAAAAGAAAAAGTACGTTTTTTTTTAGCTGTTTCATCAAAAGAAAAAGGTGCATAAGATCTGTTCTATTGTTTTCATTTTAAAGGCAAAGGGTATATATCTTTTATGTGTTTTTCATTAAAATGAGGAAAAAGTGCATAAGAATTTTTCGTGTTTGTTTCTTCTTTCTATTTCTTTTCCTTCATGTCTCCCTTTCGTGGACATTTTTTTGTGTTTTTTTACTGTTTCGTAGCATTAGTATTGTCCTTACCAGTAGGGTTACACCTCTCTCTGTTGCTTATTAATATATTCCGTGTTAAAAAGTGTGACATTTTTTCGTGTGAATGATATCTCTAATTTCGAGTTATTATTATTTAGTATTGCTTTCATTATATAAAAAAAAAAATATAGATAAAAAAATAAAAAAAAATGAAAAAAATCCAAATATTTTTATCAACGGGTCTAATCTATTAGTCTCTTCCTTTCCTCCACTTTATCGCCTCTCCCTCCTCCTCCCCATTATAGCATAATACATTTACCACAATTTCTCTATTGCGTTCCTCCTCCTGTTATTGTGTCTATATAAAGCCAATGTTTCGGCGGCGTGCAGACAGGCTTTCAAAAAATGGGCTGTGTCTCGACCTCTGCCCGAACTTGGGGTCGACAGAAAGGGCTAATGTGTGTCTATGGCATTATGAAGGTAAATAATGCCCGGAGGTCCGCCCGCGTGTGAAGTGCGGTATATTAAGGGTCGGAAAAGAAGAAGTTGTTCGACCGTGGTACCATTTTTTATTTTTTATTATTTTTCTCTTTATCGGAGGTTTAAATAAGATTTTTTAATTATTTTTCTCATACGGAGGTTTAAATAAGATGCACCATTTTTTATTTTTTATTATTTTTTCTCTTATCGGAGGTTTAAATAAGATTTTTTTAATTATTTTTTTTTCTCATACGGAGGTTTAAATAAGATGCACCATTTTTTATTTTTGTATTATTTTTTCTCTTTATCGGAGGTTTAATAAGATTTTTTTTATTATTTTTTCTCATACGGAGATTTAAATAAAGATGCGAGGTGGGTTCTAAATTCTTTTTGATAAATGTGTACAAATGGTATGTAGTGGCTTCTAAATTCACTTTGTTAAATATGTACAAATGGGTGTATGTAAAATCTCTCGTCGGATAAGCTTTGGAGAAGAGTATGGAGGAGGAATTTGAAATGGAGGGAGGTTGTGTATAAATTTACTTTTTTTTATATGTTCTTGTTCGTTGATTTTATGGATTATCTTCGATGTTGTATCCTATATAGGCATTTAATTCGGTATATCATTATCATATTTTTATTTATTTTTTTATATTTTGAGAGATTGAAACGTAAAAGACAGATATAAATCTATTGCTTACACTTCAACCTAATAACAACCTTCATCATGAATAAATGTACAATACATTATTACACGCACACATAAACAGTTTTCCATACATAAAACAACAAAAAAAGCCAAAAAAAAACGTTTACATCCACACTTTTTCCTTCGCATAGTCTACATTTTGAGCTGACGATCGTCATTGTGATCACTCAAGCCTGACCAATCACAGGGCGTGCACGAGATCACGTGTTACCGACCGCGACCAATCAGCGTGGCGGCTGCGTGCTGGCAGAGCCCGAAGCCAAAGCCAAAAATGACGGTGCATGTCCAAACGCGGCCCATTTTCCACGGTGAAGCTAATCGTGTTAACTCATCAATACGTAAATGGCCGATTTGGCGCCAAAACAAGACAGATTCAAACGGAAAATTTTGTCTTAACTTTTGTGTTTAATTCGCGTTAATTTCAGTGTTTATAAAAAGGGGAAAATATAAGATACGGGAGTTTAGTTGTTACGAATCATTTAAAAAGGTATTTGATTTCTTGATGGATGCATAGATATATCTTCTGGCAGACAGCATAGAATTTGTTTGAATGTTGAATCTGTATATATATATATTATATATATATATATATATATATATATATATATATATATATAATATATATATTATATGTGTGTGTGTGTGTGTGTGTTGTGTGTGTGTGTGTGTACATATACATTTATAATATTGTTAACATTATAAAAATATCATCATCATCATTATTATTGTCACTATTTTATTATAATTAATAGTATCATCCGTATTGCTACTGTTATTATCAATATTTTTTCTGCCATAACCATTCACATCGATATTGCTATTATCATTATCATCACTAGTATTATTATCATTATCATTTTCACGATTATGATCATTATCATTTCTATCATTATTATCATGATATTATTATTATCATTGTTATCATTATTAATGATATCATTACTTTTATTAATATCATATCATCATTATTGTTGATTACTATGATAATGATTATTATTTTACCAATTGTTATGATTATTTTCATTTATCATTAATATTGCCATTCTTGTTATTTTATTGCTATTATGATTATGATTTTTATTAACATTATCATTATTGTTCTTCTTCTTATTATTATTATCAATTATTATCATTATTATTATTATCATTTTATCATCATTATTATCATTATCATCATTGTTTTCATATTTTTTTCATTATTACCATTATTATCACTATCATTATTTAACATCATCATCACCATAACCTTCATTGTTACAATTATGATAATTACAAAAATACTGAAGATAATTTCCTAATTAATGTTTTTTTTTCATTAAAGATTCTTCGCCTTGAGTCTTCCTTCGTCAAGAACCAAGAAAAAATTAAAAAAAAGAAAAAGACGAAGAAAGATGTTGAGAAAGTGTTGAGAAAGATCATGCACTGATTCGAATAGATATAGGAATAAGGGGATAATAATAATTGAAGAGGAGAGGGGAGAAGAGAAGAAGAGGAGGAAGAAGAAGAGAGAGAGAGAGAAAAAGGAAGCCAGACGATATTTAAAGGAGGAGAAAGGAAGTAGAATAATAAAAAAATCTTAGGAAAAAAGACGAAGCGGATAAAACACAAAAAAGGAAAAGAGGAAGAACAGAACAAGAAGTAATAAATATAGAAAACAAAAAACAAAAAATCGAACTCAAAAACCCCTCCAACCCCCCTCTCCTCCCCCCCCTCCTTCAGCAGGCACCCCAGCAAGCCATGCGGATCCGTCGGCCCTCGTGGCACCGGCGGGAGATGTGAAGGGCATGGGACTACCCGGAGAGGGCGCGGGGGCTGCCCTGGGTCATGGTGCCACAGGAGGCCACGATGCTCCTGGCTCAGCTCCTCCTCATGAACCACTTCCTCGCCGGCTTCTCTCACCTCCCCGCCGACCAGCCGCTCTTCCAGGACATCAATGGCATCAACAGTGAGTAGGGGGACTTTTTTGGGGGGGGGGGTGTTGTGGGATGGGGGGGCTTTGGTGTGTGTGGGTGTGTGTGGGGGATGTGGGTATGGGTGGGGGAGGGGGAAGGGGAGGGGAAAGGGAGGGTTTGTGGGTTTTTGTCTTGTTTCTCTGTTTTTTCTCTCTCTCTGTCTCTGTCTCTAGTCTCTCTTTCTCTTTCTTTCTGTCTGTCTCTGTCTCTCTTTCTTTCTGTCTCTGTCTCTCTTTCTCTTTTTCTCTCTGTCTCTAGTCTCTGTCTCTTTCTTTCTCTCTCTGTCTCTGTCTCTCTTTCTCTGTCTTTCTCTCTCTGTCTCTGTCTCTCTTTCTCTTTCTTTCTCTCTCTGTCTCTGTCTCTGTCTCTTTCTTTCTCTCTCTGTCTCCAGTCTCTCTTTCTCTTTCTTTCTCTCTCTGTCTCCAGTCTCTCTTTCTCTTTCTTTCTCTCTCTGTCTCTGTCTCTTCCTCTCTCTCTCTTAATATGGTTATGAGTATTTTTATCATTACTTTCACTATGATCATCATTATAATTACTGTTTACTTTCTTTATCACTATTATTGTCAATGTGTTCACTATTACTATCATTACTATTATAATTATCATCATTACTATCATTAATCGACTTTGTTATCATTATTCTCATCACTATTGTCACTAATTACTATTATTATTATCATTGTTCTTGCTGCTGTTATTGACGCTATGATAATTTGCATTTTTTATAACAGTTTAATTTTTCTTTATAGTATCATTATCATCGTTGTTATTATCACTTCATCATTGTTATTGTTTGAACTATTATTTTTATTATCATTATCAATACTACTATAACTACATATCAAATTATTGTTGTAATTATAGATTTGTTATTGTTGTTCAAAACGAATTGCGATAACAAATTCTTAAAGGTAAGGTTAGGTTTAGGTTGAATAAAGGTTAGGTTAGGTTAGGTTAGGTTTAGGTTTAGGATAGGTTAGGTTAGGTTAGGTTAGGTTAGGTTAGGTTAGGTTAGGTTAGGTTAGGTTAGGTTAGGTTAGGTTAGGTTAGGTTAGGTAGGTTAGGTTAGGTTAGGTTAGGTTAGGTTAGGTATAGGTTAGGTTAGGTTAGGTTAGGTTAGGTTAGGTTAGGTTAGGTTAGGTTAGGTTAGGTTACGTAAGGTTAGGTTAGGTTAGGTTAGGTTTAGGTTTAGGTTTAGGTTTAGGTTTAGGTTAGGTTAGGTTAGGTTAGGTTAGGTTAGGTTTAGGTTTAGGTTTAGGTTTAGGTTTAGGTTAGGTTAGGTTAGGTTAGGTTAGGTTTAGGTTTAGTTTAGGTTTAGGTTTAGGTTAGGTTATAGGTTAGGTTAGGTTTAGGTTTAGGTTTAGGTTAGGTTAGTTAGGTTTAGGTTTAGGTTTAGGTTTAGGTTTAGGTTTAGTTTAGGTTAGGTTATTAGGTTAGGTTTAGGTTTAGGTTAGGTTAGGTTAGGTTAGGTTAGGTTAGGTTTAGTTTAGGTTTAGGTTAGGTTTTAGGTTAGGTTAGGTTAGGTTAGGTTTAGGTTTAGGTTTAGGTTTATATAGGTTAGGTTAGTAGGTTAGGTTAGTTAGGTTAGGTTAGGTTTAGGTTTAGGTTTAGTTGAATAAAGGTTAGGTTAGGTTAGGTTAGGTTTAGGTTTAGGTTTAGGTTTAGGTTTAGGTTTAGGTTTAGGTTAGGTTAGGTTAGGTTAGGTTAGGTTAGGTTTAGGTTTAGGTTTAGGTTTAGGTTAGGTTAGGTTAGGTTAGGTTAGGTTAGGTTACGTTAGGTTACGTTAGGTTAGGTTAGGTTAGGTTAGGTTACGTTAGGTTAGGTTAGGTTACGTTACGTTAGGTTAGGTTTTCGTTAGGTTAGGTTACGTTAGGTTAGGTTACGTTAGGTTAGGTTACGTTACGTTACGTTACGTTACGTTACGTTAGGTTAGGTTAGGTTACGTTAGGTTACGTTACGTTACGTTAGGTTAGGTTAGGTTAGGTTAGGTTTAGGTTAGGTTTTAGGTTAGGTTAGGTTAGGTTAGGTTAAGTTAGGTTAGGTTGGTTAGGTTAGGTTAGGTTAGGTTAGGTTTAGGTTAGGTTAGGTTAGGTTAGGTTAGGTTAGATTACGTAAGGTTAGGTTAGGTTTAGGTTTAGGTTTAGGTTGAGGTTAGGTTAGGTTAGATTACGTAAGGTTAAGTTAGGTTTAGGTTTAGGTTTAGGTTAAGGTTAAGGTTAAGGAGTTAGGTTAGATTACGTAAGGTTAGGTTAGGTTTAGGTTTAGGTTTAGGTTAAGGTTAAGGTTAAGGTTAAGGTTAAGGTTAAGGTTAAGGTTAAGGTTAGGTTAGGTTAGGTTAGGTTAGGTTAGGTTAGGTTAGGTTAGGTTAGGTTGGTTAGGTTAGGTTAGGTTAGGTTAGGTTAGGTTAGGTTAGGTTAGGTTAGGTTAGGTTAGGTTAGTTTAAGTTAGGGTAGGTTAGGTTGGTTAGGGTTAGTCTAGGTTAGTTTAGTAGTTAGTTTAGTTTAGTTAGGTTAGGTTAGGTTAGTTAGGTTAGGTTAGGTTAGGTTAGGTTAGGTTAGGTAGTTTAGGTTAGGTTAGGTTAGTTAGGTTAGTTAAGGTTAGTTTAGGTTAGTTTAGGTTAGGTTAGTTAGGTTAGGTTAGGTTTAGGTTAGTTAGTTAGTTAGGTTAGTTAGGTTAGGTTAGGTTAGGTTAGTTTAGGTTAGTTTAGTTAGGTTTAGTTAGTTAGGTTAGGTTAGGTTTAGGTTATTAGGTTTAGGTTTAGGTTAGGTTTAGGTTAGTCTTTAGGTTTAGGTTAGGTTAGGTTAGGTTTTAGGTTTAGTAGGTTTAGGTTAGGTTAGGTTAGGTTAGTTAGGTTAGGTTAGTAGGTTAGGTTAGGTTAGGTTAGGTTAGGTTAGGTTTAGGTTAGGTTAGTTAGGTAGGTTAGTTTAGGTTAGGTTAGGTTAGGTTAGGTTAGGTTAGTTAGGTTAGGTTAGGTTAGGTAGGTTAGGTTAGGTTAGGTTATTAGGTTAGGTTAGGTTATTAGGTTAGGTTAGGTTAGGTTAGGTTTAGGTTAGGTTAGGTTAGGTTAGGTTTGGTTAGGTTAGGTTAGGTTTAGGTTTAGGTTTAGGTTGAGGTTAGGTTAGGTTAGGTTAGGTTAGGTTAGGTTAGGTTAGGTTAGGTTAGGTTAGGTTAGGTTAGGTTTAGGTTTAGGTTTAGGTTTAGGTTTAGGTTGAGGTTAGGTTAGGTTAGGTTAGGTTAGGTTAGGTTAGGTTAGGTTAGGTTAGGTTTAGGTTTAGGTTGAGGTTAGGTTAGGTTAGATTACGTAAGGTTAAGTTAGGTTTAGGTTTAGGTTTAGGTTAAGGTTAAGGTTAAGGTTAGGTTAGGTTAGATTACGTAAGGTTAGGTTAGGTTTAGGTTTAGGTTTAGGTTAAGGTTAAGGTTAAGGTTAAGGTTAAGGTTAAGGTTAAGGTTAAGGTTAGGTTAGGTTAGGTTAGGTTAGGTTAGGTTAGGTTTAGGTTAGGTTAGGTTTAGGTTTAGGTTTAGGTTTAGGTTTAGGTTTAGGTTTAGGTTTAGGTTTAGGTTTAGGTTGAGGTTAGGTTAGGTTAGGTTGAATAAAGGCAGATACTCTTTCACAAAAAAGAAACGATAGAATTATATGAATAATATCCGGTAAACAAGGAGACATACAGAGCTAAACATAACCACACAACACACACTAGATCGGTGATTTTTTACATTATTTTAAACTATTTTAACTCGTATCCCCCTCCCTCAGATCTCTGATAAATCCGTGACCTTCTTATATATTTTTCAGCCGCAACTAATAAACATAGTTCTTAGGCTTGAAAAAAAAAAAAAATCTGTACAGGCATCGTTTATCTAAATTGTGATATATTATTCTTTAAAGTCACGTCGCCATGGTATCATCTCGATAAGATTTCCGGAGAACTAGGATGTAGTGTTTTCCCAACCAGTTTTGAAACTCTGGTCTGCGTCAGTCCAGAAATCAAGAAAATTATGTTTTTGTCTTATAAAAAGTCGCTCTAATCACGAAGAAAAGGACGAGAATAAATATATGTATATCCTTTGTTTACACTGGCCTGGCGTGTGTGGATGAAAGTGCAGCTGGGGGGACGTGCAGAGCTGAGAGGATGGCTTGTTTCGGGGTCTTTCGTTCTTTCATTTACTGTTATTTGACACCTTTTTATCCGCGAGTCGAGGTTCTTCCGCTCTCGGGTCGTGTCTAGGACTCGAACCCGCGTGCTTGGAGTCCCCCTTGAGTCCCCTGAGTCCCCTGGTGAGTGCTTTACCAAGGCGATAAACTCTACAACAGCCTTCTGTTGCAAGTCGACGTATTGGCTGTTGAAAAGCACTTATATACACCTTTTTTAGTTATTTGTTCGGTGCGTGTGTTTTATCCTTCTCCTTCATAGCAGGGGTTCGCGAAGGACAGGTTGCGAGTGCGTGGTTAGCGTGGTTCGTGGCGTTGCTTGTAGAACAGTCGTCGTCGGAAAAAGTGCGTGTGCGTGCGACCAGCAAGTTGGAAATCACGATGTCTCGAAAGAATGGAGTTTTCTTCACCAGGATGGCGAGAGGTGGAAACCCTGGTGACGAATGATCATTTTTCATTCGAGTTTAAGAGGGACTTGACAGGCGGGCGATGAGTGACTGATGGCAACGTAAATAACTCCGTTGTATTTCGGACAATTATCCTCACAGCCGAGTAAATAATCACACGATTATCATCACCAAATCGGCCAACTTGTCATCACCCATCACCACCAACCTGCCAAGTACATCTTCCCCTGGCGAGAGAACACAGCATAAAACACATCAAATAGAGTCTTCAGGCTAAAACATAAAACCCTAACTAAGTCGCTATTAAAAGAATGAATAAACAGCAACAGAAAGAAAAAAAAGAAGTTAGACGAACACTGCTCTCGACATGTCCCAGTTTAGCTCCCTGAGTCTGAAGTTGTTTATTTTCTCAAAAGCGCTCCGTAAAAACTGGCTGCCGGACGAACACGACAAGATCAGGGCGTAGCGAGACAAAGACCGGATGCTCCTATCAAGATAATTGGTCAACTTGACTGATGTTGCAGACTTGCGTAGTTGGCTTGTTAGTGCTGGCGACTTTCCTTCCCCGTTGACACTCCGTCGGCGCGGGGGGGGGGGGGGGGGACGCGGCTTCGACCCGACGCCGCGGCCGCACTCCTTCGGGAGAGATAAGGGGATTTTTTTCGTGCCTGAAGGGGGGGGGGGGGGTGCGGGAGGGGGGGGCGTGCGGGAGGAGGGGGGAGGGGGGAAAGCGGTGCCGGAGAGTTGAGGTGTCTGGGGGGGGGGTGATGAGGCTAATTGCAGTGATGGTGATAATAATGACACAGATACGTACAGATGTATATATATGTATACATATATATATATATATACATATATATATATATATATATATATATATATTTATATATATATATATACACACACACACACACACACACACACACACACACACACACACACACACACACACACACACACATAAGTATATATCATATACATATAAATAAGTATGGATATATATATGCATATAGAGTTACATATTTATATGTTTTTGTGTATGTCCGAGCATTTCACTGCACACTTATGGATTTAAACATTTATTCCAACAAAGTTATTTTTGTGTGTTCCTTTTCTCTCTTTTTTTCTCACGAAACCTTGAAAATGTTTGATCAAAATCTCGAGTGAATTTGGTCGCATTTCACAGCTGAAAATATCTGCTTTGTTTTATTTTTATGTTTTAGTTATTCGTTTTGTTTTTGATATTACTCTCGAGTTTTGTTCATAGTTCTTTTGTGTTTCGGTTAAAGATAAAAAGAAAGAAAAAAGGAAAAAAATAATATTTTCATCTTGAAGGTCATGTAATCTAACGTAAAAAAAATATAAGAAGTAAAACGTAAGGAAAAGAAGAGAATTATCATTAAAGGCATTTAATAAATTCAAGGCTTACTTCACATATGCATTTTTTTCTTCACGTCAAATGTCAAAAAGAAGGAGTTTTTCCTCTAATATTTTCAATCTTAAAAAAAAAAAAAAAAATCTAGTGTGACGGTGGAAGCCTGCCT